ACAAAAATATCATTTCAGCAAAACTAGAGTAATTTTTCTGTCCGTAGGACTATGCGTTTTTCGTAAAAGAATCCTTTTTAAGTGAAAAATCGTGGTTTGTTCTTAGCTCTTGGCAGACAGCCAGATATTTTCAGGCGACACATGATCCTTACTCATGTTACAGGGCTGAGTAGATGTCATTTTTGTACCTTTCCAAGGTCAAACTTTGTTGTTCCTGTAATGGAACACCGTTAGCAGCTGTTCAGTTTTTCTTGCTCACTTTGTTCCCACTTTCACGTATGATCATTTTAGCTTTCCTCCACTCAGTTTGGAAAAAACTATGTTTGATTATTAACAGGTGAAAACTATAATTTTCTATATCGAATGCAAAATAATTACGTCTCCGGGTTTTTGTTTCTGATTTTCCTAAACTTTGGAGTTTGTTTTGGGCTCTTTCGTTACCGAGAGGATTGGCCAGTAGCTTTTGTTGACATAAATGCTAAATATGGAATTTCACTGAGATCTTTTGGCTTTATCGTTAGCAACCCGTCTGCTTGAAACATTTTGTCTGCACAAACCAAATCCTTTATTATTAGTATGGCATTGATGTCAATATGGGTTTTCTACTGTGCGGAGCTTTCGAGATAGAAGAAACCTAGGTTTCCGATGTGCTGGTTAAGACAATGTTCATTTTGCCCTAGTGCGTTTCTGTGGCGATACGGTACGTATATGGTAAATAGGTTATTGGGTCCGATATTGCATGAAACTTGATGTAATTTAGTCGTGATTTAGCTGTGAGTTTTTCTTCTTGCTACTAGTGAACCAGCGATTTAAGGGTGCTAGCTTGCAGGAGCGTTCGCTGCAGGACCCGCGCGGTTTCCCGCTATTTGATGTTTTTTAGGTCGCCGTTACAATTCTTTCTATATTAGATTGAGAAAGCGCAATTTGCCTGCCCGCGGAAATATTATCCTTGGAAGAAAAGACTTTGATCTTTCATAAAAACTCGTTTTTAGATTTAAAAAATGAATAATTTCGTGATTTCGCTACCATGTGTCTGCCGTACACCTACATGCCATGGTGCCACAGTCGCTCAGTTGCAAAAATAGAATTCAGAAAGGCATTGCCAATAAAACAGCGCTAAGTACTAGGAGAAAGCGAAATATTAAAGTTCCGTTATCAAAATTATCTGAATCATACCAAAAAAATTCAAACCCTGTATTTTATGTTTTTGTGCGATTGCACATACATTAATTATCCTCTGGACTGTAAATTTTCTCCTGGACTTCCACGCTCTTGTTTCTTTCGTCCCTCATGTCATGTCTTCTTCTTTCTCTTTCTCTCCTTTCCCCTTGGACTACCCATTGTCAATGCAGACATTTTGTCAAGCTGGCTGATCAACTGCAATCTCTACCTGACGCATATACTCCACGGGGAGACAAGTGGTTTGACAAGCAAAACAAGCGTGAAGCGATCGCGAAATCTTCGGAAGGGTTATCTCAGCCTTTAGCAATCTTTAGTTTGGCGAAAAAACTAATTTTCGAGCGGAGAATTTTTCCGTACGATTCTTACGGTTTTTTGCCGGGGTTTTGGTTCTACTTGTCTCTTTGAAGCCAAAGATCAAAATCGTACCTCACTTACATCGTTTCCGCATTTTGAGCAGTTGTTCAAAGGTAATACCACATGAAATAAGTATGTTTGGGCTTGCTTATGAGGCAGGAGAAGAGAAGGACGGGTTTATAGCATCTAAAGCCCGCTCATGTTCGGGTGTACCTTCGAAGATCCGTTTTTTATGCCCCTTCAACAGGAAAAGAACGTTACCCGTTGTTGTCTTGCTTAGATTCGGAACCATAATAGTTGCACATCAAATGAAATAGGAGGTGGAAATTCAAGGCGTCTCATCTTTTACAAATTTTTATACACATCATTGGTGGTCCTGAATGGACTGAAGCTAAGGCGAGTATGCCTGGGTATAAACGAAGCAAGCGAATTTTTCCTGAAGGTTTGAAAAAAAAACTGAAAACCGCGTTTGTAATTGTTTTTTGGCATCAGGATGATGGAAATGTAGTGATTTTTTTTACTAATGTTAATCGTTGGGTTGGTAAGTTCAGGGGCTTTTCTGGACCAAAACTTTTGTGGATTTTTAGCGAAAGAATCGGGGAGTGACAGAAATGAGAGATGAATTTGTCGTCATGTTTTCTTTTAGTTCTTGAAGGGGGGGGGGGTATGCATCAACTTGGGAGTCTTTGGAAAATCACCTGAGCATAGTAGAAACACTTTTACAATTCTTACCTTGATCGCATTCACATTTGCTCCCAGATAAAATTTTTCTGGAAGAATTTCTCGCGCTTTTTACGTTATCAATTGGCACCATTCCAAATTAATCAAACTCAATTGCGCTTTTGAATGAGTATAGCCTCTGCATACGTTGCAAAGGATGCAACCGGCTTGGCAGTGATTTTTCTGAAGCTTAATATCTCGTGTGTTGCTTGCAAAGAGTGTTATTACACAGCATGTGCCGAGGCTCATTCACTCAAAAATTTCCAAGCTGTAAAATTGGTTTATAGCGTTTAGCTGGAAGGGTAGGAGGGTAAAATGTACTTCCGGGAGGTTTGACATACCTACCGGTACAGGTGATGAGCGTTTATGGGCACTTACCGCTGGTTCAAAAAGTGCCTTGGGCGAGGTTGGCGCGAAAAAAGTGGGGCAAAATGAGTCTATGTATATAAGACGACAAGTTGGTGACAAACGTTTGCGACGACGCTGACGACCGACACGACAGCCGTGTCGGCGGTGTGAGAAGCGGGGAGCGGGGCCACGGGGCTGGCGGTAGCGGCACAGCCAGCAGCAGCCAAGCGAAGCAGCAGCAGCAGAGCGGAGGAGCTCGGCTCGAGTTATTTACCACGCCCCAGGCAGGCGAGGATCCGCATTGATCTGATCGCTGCTGCCGTCTCGGTCATTGCCCCTACCTACACGAGGACGCTGAAACCTGGCCTTGGACATTCTCCAGCTTCAAACATGATCGAGCTGTTCTGATCCGCACCCCACATCATCTTCCAATTCGCAGCGCTAGCTCTCGGTGCCATCTCGGCGCGGACGGGAGCTGTGGAGTCCACAGATGAATCATCTCGCAGTTCCCGACAGTCCACAATCGCAACAGCGTCTGCCACGGTCGTCTATGTGGAACGAACTGCGCAAGAAGAGCATCAGCGAGCTGAGCCTTGTCTTCGACATGTTCCGCGGCTCGACACCGTCGTCCAGCCAGCAGAATCTGCATCCGACGGACCGCGCATGCCAATCCACCGGCAATTTGCCGCCTCCACCGCCGCCGAAGGGACGTCGTCGACGGCGGATGCGCAAGACGTGGAAGGCGCTGTCGGCTGGTCATCTAGCTCGACAGTATGTGCTTGGTAGGTTCCCATCTCTTTACGGAAATGGATTCTGACATTTTACAAATCGTTCTTTGCTTCCATCTCCCTTCAAGATATTATTCGATTTCCTTACAAATACCCTGCTTCCGCAACGAAATCACTGATGTGGAAGAGCATTATTCTGTTGACTTCCTATACTACCCCACTGCCATTTTTGCCCTTTCCAAAGCTTATTGTTGTTCTCGAAACCATGAAGACGGCTTCCATTATACTTTACTCTTGCATACTTTCATCATATTCTTTCATTTATATCAGAAACACGTTATTCTGCGAATTTTCTGAACAAGTCGGTATTGGAAAACCGTTTTACTGCATAATGATGGCTTTAAACTTTACCTTGAGGATCCTTGCATACACCTTACATCCACATAAATAATTGATTTATCATATCAACAAACGTTTGCGAATGGAACAGAATAAACGTCTTTATAAATAATAGATGAAGTTTGCCTTAAATTATCAATTATATGAAAGTGAAATATCAACGATATCGATCACATCATTTCATTATACAATCTAATAGAAAGTACAAACTAGGAATCATGTCATTGAAATTATATTATTATCTTTATTTCGTTATTTTTTAGACTAATATAATTTCAAGCCATTCTCGGAGTTTGAATAAGTATTGGGATTATTCAAGCCGAAGAATTGAGGTGGAAAATGGACATAGCTATTGCCTGTTCCGTTGGTTATCATAGAACTCAAATCAGTACTGTCAGTACTCAAATTATGATCTTTCCATTACCAAAGGCTCACTTAATTGATGCGTTTATGGTAGTAACAACTTTAGTTTGTGTTTTTTCTAAAAAAAAAACCTGTTTGAAAGATCTCTCTGCCTTTACACGGTTTGCCCGCTTATGTTGTACTAAATAAAATGTGAATCTTTGATCAGTGTATTAACATTTCGTGCTGATCACAACTTTTGAGAAATTTTCTACCTCAAAATTTTGCTTTCCAAGCGTAAGCGGAAGTTCAAAGAGATCTACGAGCCAGCCATCCTTTACGTTTTGCAGCAAAAAAGTTCGCAAAAGTTACAAATTTTGATTGACTGATCACCTCTAAAAGCAATCGATTGAGTGTATCGATATCGACTTTGTGTAGCTACGGCAAAACAAGAAGAGAGATGAACAGATGGCACCTGGCTGTTTTGTGAGCGTGAGAGAACAGTGGCCGAGAGAAGCTGACACGCAAGATTAGAGCGATTGCCAAGAAAGCGTGAAAGGGAACTGCAAATTTTTTTTGCTCACTTCCCCTTCCCTCGCTAGGAAAAAACGTCAAAAGACATATGCGAGTTGGTGGTAAATTGACTTTACCTCCATCAGCACCAAAAAAAAATCCCACCAAAAAATAAGAAATCGAGAGCAGGCCGTTGCAGAGAGTGTTAGATTTATGAAGGGACGATCCCGGTAGCACCGCCACGGGCATGGGAGTTTTCGTAGTTTACAATTACGTGAAAATGTAAATAATAAACTAAGATGGCGCTAAAACTTGCCCAAAATTCAACGCATATGCGGCGGCGACGGCAAAGTAGGTGTTGGTTCAAAAAAGAAGGATTTTTACCCTTTTTTGATGATTTTTTTCCTTTTTCAGTTCAAGAAGAGAAGGCAATGCAAGCCGTACCGACGGCACCCATTGATGCTTCGAAATTTGTCGCTTATGTAACGGAACGACGGAAAAAACGAATACTCTTCAAAGGGGAGTACCTTGTAAGTTTATTTTCTTGGAAATTTCCTGTCTATACTTATCAATATTCTTTTATTATTGAACTTCTGCAGAAATTTTCTCACGTAATCGTTCCTCTGTGCTTTGTCTTCTTATTCTCGGAAGTGTCAAACAATTTCAAGACGATCAAGTAATCACATCTGCCACACTTTGTACTTTATGCTTTCCTCATTGACGTAACTATCAAACATCAATTGAGTGATTTTTATCAATATAGTGCAGATGACGAAAGAGAGCCTAACGTATCAAATGACTTCTAAATTTCACAGTGAAAGAACTAAGCTAAAAATTGATTTTTGGGACTGAACCGGATGGCAATGCATTAAAAGTTCGGGAGCCATTTTCAGAAAGAGAAAAACTTGGGCAATTGTTTTGAACACATTATCAAGACAGTAAAAAACTTTCCTTACAGTAGACCTGGCAAGATATTATTTCAACTCGAAAATTAGCGAAAATTTCATGCAAAGCTCATCGAATCTGTTTGTCTCCATTCAACCTCTAATTGAGAGTGATGTAAATTATTAATCAATTTTTATTTTAATCTCTTTTTCTAAGAAAGGACACATTTACCTGCTAATCGATTTTGGCGCTTACTCATTAGTACTGACTACGGTTATAAATTAAGCAGTCTTGCTGCACAAAGCCTAAACAAAGAGCTGTGCTTACCTTTTTTGTTCCAAAGGCTTTCGTTGATCCTTTCAAACTAATTACTTTTTTCTCAAGTTCCTTTCCTTGTCCTTTTCAAGCATTACATTTGTAGTAGTAACTCCAATTTACTTATTGCCTATATGTGCAGTACTAGTCTCAAGATCTCCGTGTCCAACTCTGCTTATGTGATGCAAGGTTTGTACCCAAAAAATCGTTTCTTACATCAGCATTTTACTGTTTTTTGTCATAGTGTTCTTCGTTCCCCCCCCCCCCCCTTCCCTCCACCTAGCTCAACCGTTAACCTTCTTGAGATCACACCCTATTACCATAATAAGTTCCTTATTGGAGTGCCAGCCGTAGGTACTGCTGCAGAAAATTGATCTCCTCCTTTACGATTTTTACTTTTATTCGAAATTTTCATGTATGTTCAGTCACAGCAGAGGGTGTAGTGTCTCAAACGTCACAGAGCTTGATTTATCTCTAACTGAGATTTTTCTTTGTCACGTCTCCTTTGATGAAAAAAGGCTCATACAAGGTTTATGCGCTCTACTGAACTTGTTATGAGAGGTGTCAGAGTAATATATCATGTAAACAGCTGACAGGAATTTCCACTTGGTTACCCCAGCGCTCTTTGCTTTGAGTCAATCTGAGCAGAAAAATAAAAATAAATGTTGACTAGGGACCAGGATTCAAGCAACTCTTGGGATTTTCTTGGGACATTAGAACATATTGATACCTTCCCTGTTGTTATTAAGAGTTGACCATGTGCCAGCGCCGTGTCAGAGCCGTTCCAGCCCGTTTGGGAACATCACTGCGTATTGGTTGATCAACCTGGCCGACACAGTTCCGCCACCGCTTTGGCACGGCGTTGGAACAGCGCAGGCCTAAACAACTCTAGACGAACCCTTACGGTAGCTTACTATGGAATTATTGTTAGTGCCTGATATCATACACCTGCATTGAATGGCTAAAGGCGCCCTCAGCTATTTTTTATGCTATAACTCCAAACCTTGTACTTAGCGTAACCAAAGTTTTTTGTTTTCTTTCTAAGAAAATTGACCTTTTTCATGCTTTGTGCGAGTTCCGAACATCATATTATGACAAATCACGCGGAAAATCCTGTAAATACACACCATAAAGAATTGTTTCTGCTTGATTAGTTTCCTGGCAAAAACCATCATAATGCAGCTAAAAAATTTCTATCGCCCATATTCTGTGGCAAAATAATTGTTAGATATTATACATGTGCAAGGCCAACTCTTTTACAACGTTTCCAAAACTTTAGCTGTATCTTCTGGATCCGTTAGTTTTCTGACACCTCTATTCTCTTTTCTTGCAAATGTACTTCCACTTTTTGATCGCAACTAATTGAAGGAGGCAGATTTGCAACGACAAAAAACACTGGCCACGGCCTCTTCTTTTTTTTATGATTGTGGCTTAGAAACATTTCGAGGGTTTCCTAGAAATCATATTGAGGATTATTTTGTTCTATCAAAAGCATAAAAAGAAAAAAGCATGTAATTGATTTCCTAAATAAATGTCTGGATTGTTGCTTACGATACTCAAGGGCGAGATTTTTATTAGGTTGGAAACTAAGTTTTGCAACTGGTCTCATAACTTCCCTCTCACTCAACATGGCGCACTCAAATTTTGCCACTGCGTTGGTTATTACGTAATCTACAAGCACAGCTGTTGTCCTATCAAATTCTGACGTCGCAGTGAGGGTTACGGTAGGTGCATGGTATGAAGGGGAAAAATTCAAAGTTTGACGGACTTGGCTGAAACTTGACACAGGGATGTTATCCAACATGCTGATCACGAAAACGATAGTGAAATTGTGTGATAGGGGTTTTTTGTAGGATTACTGTAGGTGTGCGATATGGGGTCTCACCCTAAACAAGGAAACGGCGTTGATTCAACAAATGAATGTGATATTCGCGTTTGGCAGGTCAAATAACCTTAATATGTAAAGTCTCGGCTGAATTTGAGCTTCGGACTCTTTAGTCATTGACGGTCGTCCCCAGCAGCTCTTGCGTACATCGACTCGTTCGACTTTATGAGGACGCCAAATCTCGACATGCCCCTAAATTTTGTTTCTTTCTCACTAGGCCAAAGGTGTCAACCTCCAGCAATAAATTGTAGGCGAATCCGGATTACTGCGCATGGTCTAGGCTGCCAAAGGCTTCATTTTAGCTTGAAAACCCAAAAATTCTCAAATTTCACTAGTTTTCGAAAAAAGCCTAAAACTTTTCTATTTCGTGTTCAAAATTTAAACAATTTGTGCTCACTTGTAGCCCACATTAAATTCTACATAATGCCAAAGTTTGAGTGCGTCATATCCAAAGAGAGTGAAGTTATGAAACTAGTTGCAAAACTTAGTTTCCAGCCTAATATTTGGAAAGACGTCATCAATGTGATTGCACGATGAAAACGTACGTACGTATTTACTTTACGTAAATTCTGCAAAATCTAAGGACATGCATTTGTTTCAAGCTTATTCTGACTTTCTCATCCATCCATTCTTCGTATCCTGCAAAATTCTTTGCATCTCTATAATTCTCAGAAGACGTCGAGCTCACTGATGATAAACGCACAAAACCTGCTAGTCAAGAAAAACGACACTTCATTAATCAGTTCAAATAATGAACTGCTAATGCTTGTTTGTTCCACAGCCGCTTCGCAGTTTGTTTTTGATTTTTTTTCTGTTGTTCTAGATTTCCTGAGTTTTTTTCAATGGAGGTTCACCCTTACCCTCATCATAAATACAAACATTGGCAATTTTTCTCCAGAAATTCGTTGGGACTTGATTTTCTCATAGCGGTATCTTCACATGACAGCTAAAAAAGCCTAACTTCCTCATAAAATGAAGATTTATTGGCGTCAGCTCTCTCCCGGAATCCAACAAAATCTCCAAAAAAATCAGAAGCGTGGCGCTGTTGTACTTTACTAGAAAAAAAATCTAAGTACCGTAGCAGTCACAGGGGTTGTCGACCGCAAATGCTATAAAGACAGCTGTGTTTTATGTGCTATCTAGTTTCCATGCTCGTGACTATGGATAATGTGTGCAAGTGCACAAGTGCACGTCTGGATAAACCGTCTTGAAAGGCGACAAAATGTGCGAAAAAATTAAGCTTAGGCAAAATTTGTCACCTTTAATAGCTGGCATCATATTTGACAACATTCCAACAAAAAATTTCAACTATAGTAATGGCGCCAAAAAGTTTCAGGCATCCCCTTTTGGAAATTTGAGTTGTCGTCTTCAGCAGATTGGAATTGATCCGTTTATTTATTTATTTATTTATTTATTTATTTATTTATCTCCTTCATAATTTAAGCAACTGCAAAGCTATTATACTTACCCACAATGCTTATGTGTTTTTACCAAGGTTGACATTTTTTAATGAAAATTTTTTTTGGAAATCTGCTTCCTCATTTCACTTCTCCCTAAAACATAAAAGAATTTAATCAATTTTTTAATCTCATCTCTTTGGCTCAAAGCCCCCTATGACGAAGTTCCGCAGACGAAAATCTACACCTCGCGTGAAGGATGTAACATAGAAAGCCTATCCAAAACTTTATCTCTCGAACACCTGACGATGTTGTTACGTTGTAAGATTGCAAGAAAAGATCTCAAAGAAAGCTAGAAGTGCTGGCGAGCATTAGGTTTCCTTTGGGAGAAGAAAGAACCAAACCAGAAATCTCCGAAATTTTCATGGACAAAGTCTGGAACAGTGAATTTACCTTATATGTGCCGCTCTTATAAATGTTAGTGGAAGTACGAGCCAGTTTCCGTCGTTGACTGGAGATTTTTACATTTTTGAAAAGAAAATAAGAGAGGAAGACGCTAGAACACATTTATCCGGAAGAAGTACGTTCTTATAGTCAATGGAAATTAGGATGGAACGCGCAATATGTGCAGCTTGTACATTTACGCTTATCAGGAAGATGACTATACTAGCTATGGAAAAGTGAAAAAATCAGAAAATGCAAAATGATACCGCTCTGTGCACCGTGCAATCACAGAAGTTAAACTGCTTGCACCAGTCAATACGGATTTTACAGCAACAAATATTTTCTTCCATTTGAGTGTAGGATTTGCATCTATTTGAAGATTTCATAATAGCAACTATCAAAGAAAACTCCTGCTAGCGTTTTGTAACATTTTTCATCTCCTCTTCCCATCCAGAAAGTGCTTCCTGTTTTTTTCAGCAGACGAACTTTGTCGGCGATTTTTTGGGAATCATTGTTCATTATGTTCACTATTTTGTGATCGCTTCTACTTGCTTGTTTATTCCACTTCATACATAATCTTTCCTCATTTTGGTTCTTTTCAAGCACTGCCGTATATTATTCATGCTTGACGGCCGACTGGGTTTCATCATTCTTGAAATTTATGCCTTTTCATTATTCAAGCTCAACGAATATTCTTCAAACATCCAAGCGAAAACTGCGAAGTGGAGTCAGAAGGGCAGAATGCTATATCTTCTGTAAAATGAAATATTGGCTCTTTTAAAGAAGTACGAGACTAATCGTGAACATCTCTTGAAAATATTCCAAAATTTTGCAAGTGACTTAGTGTTTGTGAAATTTTAATTGAAGTACATAGTGGAAATTCAAATTAACCCTGAAAGATTTTTGTTGTTTCGCTCTCCACTTCTCAAAAACTTCGAAGATATGAGCTTGCTAATCAAACTAGGCTTTTTTTGAAGGCGTAACACCAGGCACTTTTATGGGAACATTGCATTGGGACAGCTACGATAATTATACTTGGCATTGTATAACGTACTCAACACAATATTATCATGATAGTTTGAGATCATAGACAATCATATGGCACTCGAAAACTAAATTAGTCACTATTGAAATAGAGGAAGCGGAAAGTTGAGAAACGTGATGAAGATGAAGTCTTACTGTGAATAAATTTTTTAACTTTTGCAACTTTTCATGGTTTTTCCCACCTCATCTCATTGAATCTGTTATACCTGTTGCTTTTCATTTTTGTTCTTTTCTTCTGGAGTGCACTATCGTAGCTCGACTTCACTCAAAGGCCAGAGATTTTTCGTCGAAAATTACACTTCCGAGCATCAAACAACACTGTCATAGCGCAGCTTTTACCAGAATGAGATGTGTTTTTTGTGTTCCACGGCAGCGATCTAACGATGATTTGTTGCAGATGATAAACAGATCGATAGACACTAACAAATGTCGGAGTGATGTGGGAAGCACGTTGAGCGACAGAAATCCCTATCCCGTGAGTGTTCGGCAAGATTTTTGAAAATGGGTCGAATTTTAAGTCTGGACTTCTGTCATTCTTGAATCTTCAGAAACAGCCATTTTTTATTTGAAAAAAAGTAGAAAATTTACGTGTTCCTTGCCGTGGAGATTGTCGTAAGGCGTGGCGCGTGCAAGTAATCAGCCAATGGGAGGCGGATGACTAAGGACATTACCACACCCCATTCGCTAAAGAGCTGCGAGCTTTTTTATACAGTACTTTGCATTTCCGATCTCTGTTTTTTTGGGTTTTATTTTTTATCAAGCATTTATCAGCAAATTCGTATAAAAACCATGTGCACTTGACTGCTTTCGATTGGTTGCTTTGTGTATTTGCACTACTTTTGAGGTTTGCAGTGGAGCGGAAACCTCCATGGTTGAAAAAACAATAGGACAAAAAGTTCCACAAAAACTTGCACAAAGCAAAAAGGGGCCCCACCGTGCTGCCAGTGCAGGTTTTGAAAAATAGTGCAATTACACAAAGTGACTTGTCAAGGAGAACGACAACAAACAAGTGCTTCTCTTCGTGGAGGGTCTCCATAATCTTTGTTGACAAATTAAGGAGGGTTAATTGTATCTTGCTTTGCAATATTTATCAACTACACAGTGGCATCGCTATACTGGCGGCTCGCGCCACGCCCATTGGCCATTTTTTTACCGAAAAAAAAACATCAAAAATGCTGTGACTTATATATTCATAAAAGCTGTGAAACCTACTCTCACTTTCATACTTTCATATTCGGAAAATCGAAGATAATTGAAAAATAAGAAAATTTGCCAAAACCATTCCTCCAATTTTCGAACTGGGTTCCCCAAACTCCAAATTTTCCCCTCAGGACACCCTACCCTATGACTACAACCGCGTCATTCTACCTCGACTACCTTGCGATGAGAACTCTCACTACATCAATGCCAGCTACGTGAATGTGAGTGTTTTCTAGCATTTCCGTCGAACTGACGCTGAGCAGCAGCAGTTCCGTTGTAACGTTGAGTTTTTTGCTATTCGGGTGATTACAGAGTTGGTTGCGGGAAAAAGCGTACGTAGTGACGCAAGCGGTTCGCACAAAACCGATGAATGTCGAGTTCTGGCGAATGGTCTGGGAACTCGGCTCGAATTGCATTGTTATGCTCACTAAGGTGTTCGATTTCATGCGGGTAAGACATGGTACAAATTGTCTGTTGTTATGGCAAAAGGGCTCATTTTGCCCCTTGTAATCGTGCCCTAGCCGAAAACATCTTCAGGTTATGTGCCTTCAATATTGGCCATTGACGCGGTTTATGTTCGGGGATATTGAGGTGGAGACGGTCGACACCCATACCTATGCCCATTTCGTGAGTTTTTTTCTCCAGTGATGAGTCTGAAAAGGAAGGAAATGAGAAGGAGAAAGGAATGGGGAAGCTGACGGGGAATGGAAATGGTAGAGCGCGAAATTAGCGTACGTTTAACCGAAACGCAGAAAAAGCGGACGTATCATACATAGGCGATGTAGCACAATCTTTGGAAAATTTGCCGAAACTAAACAAGATTCCGCACTTATCTTATTGTCAGAACTTCCCATACTCTACAATGATTTTTTACACCATCTAGAGCTGAGAATTGAGAACAAAATGAAATATTGCTTGTAAAAACGCCATGTTTTCGATCTGAATTTCAAATTGCAAAGCACATCATTGCGATAGTGATAAAAAGTACAAGTTGGGATAATTTCGGAGGACGGGGATATTTGTGAAAATCATAACAAGTCTTAAAAAGTGTCAATTTCAATGTTTAAAAAAAAGCATCTGATAGGTAATCCATCAGACTATAGAACACGTGTAAATTCGAATATGCGAAATGCGGTTTACATTTTCGGCATCATTTTACAGTAATCTTACCCGAGTAACGCTGAACCTCTAAATATTTTTATCGAACTTATGTTCGAATATTAAGTTGACTAAACAGTGAGCTCGGTCGTTTTTCCTTTTGTAGAAATGTAACAAATTGTTATGGAATGTATGGTTTAGTCGGAAAGAGCAAATCGAGTAAAGTCGGACGATTTTTCTTTCGACGATTTGGTGCAGAAAATAAAAGCAGATTTTTCTTTGAGTTTTCGGAGAAAGCATACTCCGAAACCGAAGTGAACATACTTCAAAATGAAGTCAGATATAAATAATGTATATTTGACTCCATACAACAGAATTCCGAATTTTCAACCATTCACGACCATAGATGGTCAAATGCCATGTAAAAGCGTCAGCATTGTTGATGACAAGAATTTTGTTTAACGGATATGTGAAAAGAGAGAGTTTGAAGGCAGTGTCCGGGCAAAAACTCAATTTTGAGATTTTGTGCTTACCTGGGCCTATTCGCCATGCTGACTTCGAAATTCCACATTGGAAAGCGCGAAAACGACAAAAGGGCTCTAACGCAGGAGGGAAATCAGAAGTGGGGGGGGGGGTCTTCCCCACTGCGAATTTTGCGGTCCCATCTTCTGAAGCGATTTTCTCAATTCCGCTACCGACCTGAGATCTCCACAGGTCAGGTGCAAATGCATGACTTGAAGTCGGGACCGAGAAGATCGCTCCGGAAGCTTGGAGCGTGAACCCGCACTGGGGAAGACCCCGCCCACTTGTGATTTCCCTCCTACGTTAGAGCCCTTTTTCGCCTTTTTCGCACTTTCCAGTGTGGATTTTCGGATTCAGCATGGCGAATAGGCCCGTATAAGCACAAAATCTCAAAATCGAGTTTTTGCCCGGACACTGCCTTTAAGTTACATTCTCACTCAAAAATCTTAGCTAAATAAGAATTTATTGCCTTGAAGCTTCGAAGTTGCATGTCAAATCGGACTTACTTATTAGCCAACCCAGTTAAGACATTCGAACTTCTATAAATTACCTTTTGTGGTGGACCTTCTATCCTGTAGAATTTCCGGTATTTATTTTTCAGTATGATTTGACCCTTAGTTATAATCCGAGATTTTAGGGACAGGCCTTCTGATAGTTTATCTTATTGCAATAAAGTATATATAGGTTTCATATACTCATGGTCAAAAATAGAATTTTTTACTGTGGTTATTTTAAAGCTCTCTGAGATGAACTACGTCGCTTATAGGTTATCCGTACATTCCGATTGACGCGAAAGACGAGTGAAGGCACGAGGACGCGGATGGTGAAGCATTTTCACTTCACCGAGTGGGAGTTGGACTCCTTTCCCTACATCTCAGCCTTCATCGAGCTGCGTCGAAGAGTGCGACAATACGTGGAGAAGAACAACGTCGACGCCCCTATCATCGTCCACTGCAGGTGCGAACCAGCTGATTTATTTCATTTTTTTCTGATTCTTTTTCTTCTAATTGGTCTGTACCCTATCAGTGATTAGCACGTATCTTGAATATAATCACGAATGCCATTATTATCCAGGTGGTTAATTAGAGGTAATGAGGAGATGGGTCAACAAATATTAGAAAAATAATCTATCGTCTGGAATGTTTGTCATTCCGAGGCAGTTATAATTTTTTCCAACATATAGGCTGGAATTTTTATTTCTACGTTCTGCTTTTTTCATTATTTACTTCGTTTTTATGCTCATGTACTTTGGCTCGACTTCAAGCCTAGCTTACAATAAGATTTGCTCAAGATCCACTATGACCAAAAATCAATTCCTAATGGGAAAATTATTACTCTAAATGATCTTAATAACTGTGAAAATCCTTCATGTCGACTTATCGACAACTACTGTATAGGTGAGCTAAAAAAAGCATGGTACCGAAAAACTTATTTATTTTCAATTCAATACAATGGTTGTTCGATTTACGTAAAATTTCCGGTACAAAATGCAGAACTGTGAATTCGATCAATTCTGTACAATAGCCCACTCTGTTACGGTAGTACACGGTAGCTGAGTCAAAAATTCCAAATTTGCTCAAATCTTTGTGTATGGAGTTTTATAGCATGCTGATTACGTTTAGATAACATTACCATCCGCAACATACCATTTCGGTAAGTCTTGACGGGTTTGCAGCACGTTTTGTACAAAAAATATACTTTTGCGAAAACATGTGTCAAAATTTTGGCCAGAATTTCGAAATTTTGATTTACTTATCGTACTGTAACTCTCTCAAAAGTAGATTTCGTGTAAATCGGTCTTGCGGCATTAGTGAGCCAAATAACCGCAATCGGACCAATTTTGAGCAAATTTGGAATTTTGATCTTACCTTGACCTACTGTAGCTCTTTCAGAAGTAGGTTTCCTGTGGGTCCTGATTTTCGACACCAGCAAGTCTAATAACTCCATTAAGCAACAATGAAATCTATAATCCTGTCTTTTTTGGCTACTATTTGGTGGAAAACTTCATTCAAAAGAGTTGAGAATTCGGAGATTTATTCCTTTGCACTAACTGGGGTTGTTTTTTTTACTCGGATGGAAATGTAGGCGCTTTGTCTGGTAAGGAATCGCCATCAACTAAGGAAAAAATGCTGAGGCAAAGCTGCAAAAACTCATGGTAAGGGACCAATGCATCATCGAAACTTCTAGGAGAAGTTAAACGACAAGTTGTCGGACTTTTGAAAAATATAGCTGTTATTACTTCACGTGCTATGAAACATCTCACAATGAGCTGAAAAACTGCTCAGTTACAGCGCCTCACACTTGTACTTTCCATTTTTTGACCCGACAAATATCCATTTATCAATTTCACCTGACAACTCGTACTGAACACTAATCGGCACTGGAAATAGTGAAAATGAGAAGAAATTGCAGCTAATGCACCGTATGTACATAATCATAAACACCCGTATTTCATAGCGAACTGGGAACACTACAAGTTTCCCATTCTTTTTCTCTTCATACAATTGCCCGTGGCGAAGTTGTCGCAGCGCAGCCGCGCGCATGAATGCGGATAGGCCAGTTCAAGTGAAACATTATGCGTTCGCACAAAGTCCCTTACCCAGTAGTCAACCTAGAATGGGGTCCTTGCTTTTTAATATGATTTTGGGGAAGTCAACATACCTGCATCCTTGTAAATTCTAACAAAAATTGCCCAGCTCTTTTTCCTTCGACTGGAGGACAGATTTTGTCGAGAATAAAGTTGGTGCACGCATGATCGCAGAGCAATTGTCGACATCTAGAAGTTTAGATTCAATGTCCTGCAAATTACCTTTGGCAAAAATTTTCATGTTTCCGGTAATAGATCTTGCAGGCTGAGTTTTCAACTCGCTTTTGAGAAAATTTCTCTATCGAGTCGCTTGCAAAAATTCGAAGAGGGATTTTCCCGCTTTTTTGTTTACTTTTCTAATGTTGCTCCTAATTATAAGGAAAGTTTTTGCATGCGTTTCGTCGTCCCCAGTTACTTTTCTTATCTTCATATTACCCGCTATCCAAAAAGTTTGTTATTATGAGATATAGTCACTTTTGAAATAAAGCTTACAATCTAAATGAATGAATTTGAATTAAAAACAACTTGATTTGGTCGAAGTCATTAGTGAAGATACCCGACCATGGATCACGAAACTTTTGAAAGTTACTTATATGATTAAATAATTGAAATAACTGCTAAAAATTGTCAAAGTTCAAATTAGCCCTGCAAAAATACCGATTGGTAGAGCTGGTTTCTATTAGGCTCGCCAATCTGTAGTATCACGATAAAAACTTTTGCGGTTTTTGCAACTGTCAGAGTTATAGTTCACTCCGGAAACGTATTGAAATATTCAATATCTATCACTTGCTCAATCACCCTTTCAAAGACACGTGAAAGTTGATTGAGAAAAGAAATGTACGTGAAATTTTTTTTGATAACTTCCCAAACCAAAAAATTGGAATCGGAACATGATTATTCATTGACAAAGAGGGATCGAGAATTCTTCTTACAATAGATTTATCTATGGTGAAGCCAGCTCTACAAACTAATGTCGAATCTGCGAAATACGCTAAACAAGGAAGTACTAAAGTCATGGGCATACTTCACGCGACAGTCGTGACGCGATTTAGCAAAATCTAGCTGTTTATAAGTCATCGTTAGCACATTTTAAATGTACAGAAGATAACGCATTTTGTTGATATATGAAACCTACGCATATTATGCATTTGCAGTCTGCGAGTGCTGAATCTGGCAAATTGCCAAATCGCATTGCGGCTGAGATCGTATTAAGTATGCCCGGGGTTCAACGAAGCAGTAACATACTATTGGGAGTATGTAGATATACTAAAAGTAACCTTGGATTTTCTTAAGTGCTACTGGCAATTATGTACATCATCATTATCGCCCACATTCAGATACACATCAACCCAAATTTTGCGATAGGATTGAACCTGTTTTGCAAATTACAGCGAATAATTCGAGTTGAAATTAGGGCCCGAGTTGGGCGACAGTCATCTAAGTTAAGTACAACATTTAATTGCGAGGTAATTGCTTCCAAGCTATAAAGCAAAAAAAATAAGGTCAAGATGCACAATTACTGTCATTAGGATTGTGTCGTTGTTGGTAGAACCATGATTTACGATGGCGCAAAATAGTTTTTAGAGTTTGGCGGGAAAAAACTATAGACTGACCTTTGTGCATATCCAGACAAATTGTGCTGTAACGGACTATAGCCACCACAGCGAGGGCGACAGTGTCGTGACAGTATCGGAGCTGCTTTTGCATAACATGGCATATGGCTTAGCATCTGAAAAAAACCATTTGACTGGGTTTTTTGGGAGATTGAAAAATCTAAAATATGACTCGTTTTTGTAACCTCTTTGAACGTTTCAAGGCAATTTTCAAAAATAAGAGGCTGATGAAAAATTTCATCTCTTAAAACATTTTTTTCCAAACAATTTTCACAGCACAACTTTCGCCCTGTTAAAAAAAAATATTTTTTGAAATAAGGGCACCAACTGGTCACCACAAAAAATCCCAGATTTCTGTAGAATTTTCTCTTTCAAGGGGTTTTTCGTGTATTCTTTATCATTCCGAAAAATGAGTGTTTTACAACTTTTTTTTCTGCTAGGCTTTGGTATGTCGTTTTTTTCTCACTTTTCACTTTTCTTGGATGCTATCTGCTGGTTTTAGGGGATTGAAATTCAAAAAAAATTCATTTCTGTGACCGTTTTGGACATTTCGAAGCGAATTTTTAGTAAGTTGAAAATTGACGAAAAATCCACCTCTTCAAATCTTTTCTTGCAAATGAATCCTCGCAACATAATTTTTGCCCGGTTGAAACAAAAAATTTTCGAAACAAGGGCGCTTTTTGGTATTCGCAAAAGAATCTCAGATTTTTTTTAGATATATATCTTCCCAATTTTTTTATTTTCTCTCAAATCCTCGATGTGTCGTTTTTTTTTGTTTTTGACTATTTCTTCCAAAAACATGCTACTGGCTGATTTTCTAAAAGTCTGAAAATAAGCATGAATCCTTTTCGTGACCTTTCTGTTATTTAGAGCGGATTTTTTGAACAATAAAATAGTTAATAAAAAGCTCTTTACCTCCTGAAATCTTTTCTTGCAAACAAATTCCCTAAGATTGAACTGTACAGCATATCCACATTCGTCCACGCACTGGCTGTGTTGTCTGTCAAGATGACAAAACAACTCGAGATCATGTTTTTCGACAACAGAAGGCACATCAATACTTCCAAATGACATATGTGCCTGAAAAATCATTTTGAGATGAGTTATAAGGGTTTGAGAAAGAGATAAATTTTGATCTCACATTGACCATGTCCATACCAACATTGAGCCGATTATTGCATCGTTCCAAACATTTTGCATCACTCACTACTTCATCTCGCTTTCTACCATCGTCACCTGGAAGTTAACTTCTGGTCAAACTTTTAGGAGCAGATTCTACTAACGAATCTCCGTATTTTGAATGTTCTATCATCACTAGTTTCATCCCAGGTACAAGAACAAAGCAATGAACTGTAACTTTGATAAATGACGCAAAGGTACTATTAGGTGACCGCAAAAGAAAGTTTTTTTTTTCAAAGAATTCTGTCATTTTTAGTCTTGTTTCTTTTTTGCATAGCCGGAAGTTGGCAATAGTTGACTATTCCGGTTCTCTGCTGACATTTTTTATACTTGTTTGTAGTGTCATTCTCGTTCTTCACTTTTTTTCCAAAAACGCAGTAATTTTCCCCGGAATAAACCGTAACTCCTCGCTATCAAGCGATCGAACTTGCATTTGTATAAGTTCGTAAATTAAAAATATTTTTGAAAGAAAACTGAGAAGAAATGAGTGATGTTTAACGATAGACTTGCGATGTTGGGGCGTTTCCTAGAGCAAGAAAATGCTATTACAACGTTTTATAATCTTCTCGGCTGATCTGGCTATTTGGTCGAAAAAAATGAAAACAAGGAAATAAACAAAGTAAAAACAACATTTTCTGCGAAAACCATAATCATCACTGAAGCAAATCTCAGTGAGAAGTTAATAAAACAAAAGCAGAAATAATTGAGCCATTCCTTTGGATAGTAAAGGAAGAAATCACTCTTTTGGTAAACTCTCAATAATTTTACTTTTTTTAGATGGAATTGTTACGTATAATTCAACGAGAAGTCCAAGTGGTACAAGATAGTGCCATAAATTTCCCGTTTCGGAAATAGTTTATAAATTGCAATAGCCTGAACGTTTTGTTCCATTCCTTTCTCGATGCCTGGCTACTGCGTTTCTTTCAGTCAATGAGACATGCTCTTTCTTCTATTTTTCTATACAAACCACCAAAATGCTCCGTCATACAAATAATTAAAACAATTTGATTTTTTATTTTAGTTCCGGAAAAATCCCGTTTTAAACAAATTAACAAAAAAAAAGGCATTGAGCAATCTCTGCTCAATGGCGAAGGTGCAGCTCTGATGTTCTAGTTACAGAAATTGTAGGTGCTGAATTTTGAATATGATTTTTTGTTGCTCCTACCTTGTAGCGCTTGAGATTGTTGTTTTTTCTACCGTATAACAAAATTTAATCACACAAAATTTTTGCATGCGCTCATAAAATCAAAAAGTAGATTTTACAATGCTATCAACTAATAAAATCACTGAATTACATGAAGCTCGCTTTCATTTTTTACTAGATCTTTCGAATAAGGAAGTACTGCGAGTGTTTTGATGGAAACATTCAAGCTATTTTTTGACTGCGCAGAATCGTAAAAAATTTGTTTTTTGGCTATTCGCTCAAATTTTTTCGATCTCTTGAAAACAAAAGCTAATTAGTCATTGTCAGACATCTTTCAAATGAAAAAAAAACACGATTAAAATAAAAGATTACCTCCTCTTTTGCCGCCTACATCGTTACCGTCATAATCGGAATCGTAGTCTCGTTGCAATCGAGCCAATTGGAAAGCTGATGGGGCTCTTCTTTTGAGTATTCGACGGCCTTATATGGATTTACTTATTACTTTTTAGGCTAAAGGGAAGTTTATAAGTCTGGCTTACTTGTTGGAACTCTGCCATGAGAAACTCCGAGAAGAAATAGGACTAAACCAACAAACAACCGCATTGACCCCAGTCAAAAACCTGAATAGAAGAGAGTCTGTAAAAGTCGGAAAGCAAAAAAAGCTTCACGCAAGAATTATTTAAGACTTAACGACAAGCACTGAAGACATTGTGAGTGTGGTAAAATTACCAGGAACGACCTTGTATGCTTCGTTTCGATGTACAAATTGTCATCTAGCGAGGTCAAGCGTACACAAAAGCACCGAGACGCGGCTATTCGCCACGACCTTCAAGCTTATGAACTCTTATAATTGGCAGAAGCATGAGAAAATTATAGGCGGGGGGGGGGAAGAGAGGAGGGCAGAATGCAAAATTTTTACGGAAATTTTTCTGTGTAAATTGCAGAATTTTCCCCTCTTTTCCCGAGACTGCTCAAATTTGGGAAATCTTGAATAATTTCGAATTGCAGCTGCAAAAAGTTTTTTTAGAAATTATTTGTCTATTTGCAGGAAGAAATCGAAGACAAAAGTTGTAAAATACGATTATTTTGAATAATTGCAGAAAGAGCTTTTCTGTTGTTTTTTTGAAGATATTCAAGCCCCCAGAATAAATAATTCCGAAGCTCTACTGAATAGTCTGACTATAATTTTTCCATTTTTCTACGCTTGAAAAAGTCACAGAGAAAGGCTGTAAAGCAAAAATATTTTGAAGAATTGCAAGAGCTTCTTCTCTTTCAACAATATGACTTTTCAAGTGCGTTAAAAAATTTCTGAATTTTTCAATAAAAACTCAATTTTTTGAGTCATTTTTGTTTATATTTGTTATACTTGCGCCAAAACCTAGAAATTTATATAAAAATTCAGACCGTTCCTAGAAAAAATCTTCAAAAAAGTGACCATAACCGTACTTATGTTAATATCCATGCCTACTCAATTTGCATCAATAGGTTAACTCATCAATAAAATTCTTGAAAAAAATATAATAGAACGTGTGAACTTTAGAGTTCGATAGTTCGAGCACCGCTATACTCAATCTATATATAGTTATTGACATAGAAACCGGTTATCTTAGAAACATCTGAAATGTCCCTTTATGTGATATTTTCGCTTTCGAAAAATTCGGACTAAATTTGCAGGCAATCACATTTCAGCGCGAAAAATGTTCAATCAATTTAAACTGTGGCATTTTTGTGAATTTTGGCATCGCTCTACTTCACTAATTTCTCTTGGAAATTTGACAGAGGAAGTTCATTTCTAAATTGGCATAAAGTTATAATGATCAGAACAACGGGTATGGTATAAGACGGTAGTATAATTGAAGCCTCGCAATGCTATGATTATGCTAATCCAAAAGCTGTTCAGTCTCAAGTTCTTCAGCAAAATTTTTGTAACTGTGGGAAATTTCCCAAATAGGATGTTTGGGCTAAGTTCTAGGACAGAGTAATTGTCATAGGGCTTCCTCTTGTAATGAACATGTCGAGTTTTTATTGTTCTTCTGTGGACCAACACTTGCACATTCCTTGTCATATATAAAAGTGTTTTTTTAATTCAATCATACTTGCAAAATAAAAAGAGTAGCTTTTCCACTTAAATTTCTAGGAGTTCTGCACAATCTGACACCTATTTTATACTTATTCGCTGTGGATTTTTGAATACTGTTTTATCAAAGACTTCAATGATTTACAAGGAACTACAGATGAAATAGAACCTACATAACATTCTTCAGTAGTTCCGTAAGCCTCTTCTTCCTATATAAGAAAAAAGAAAAAACCAAGTGACCCACTAATACAAAGGTCACATTTTATTCCATGCCATTGTACTCATTGTTGCCTACTCCTAATTCATTGTCCTCTATAGAAGAGGACCTTGTGATAGTTTTTTTTGCTCTGGATGTGGCAAAAGGACATCAGTGTGTTTGTAAAATTGTCCTATATTATTTGTTTTACCTGTATTTTAAAGACTTTTTACATTTTACGGCATTTGGTTTAGCTACGGTTCCACGAAAGCTCTGATTGTAAAAATATCTCGCAAATCTAACAATAAGTCAAGAAACGCTCTACGAACTTTTGAGAATTTCATCTAACAAAAAGTGAAATTTTTGGACCGGTTAGAGCAACTTCAGATTTCAATTTCGAAAAAATTAAGTCCTACATAAGAAACACTATGTTCTTTGACTCAGGAAGTGATGCTATATTTGTGTATTTGAAGTGCAAGAGACGACATTATGGAATGCCACCATTTATGGAGCGTTTTGTTTTTGTTTTTTCATTTCATTTTTTTACCGAAGACAAAAGAGGATGAATGTCGCAATTTGCTTAGCAAATCTCTGTTATATTATAAGATGAGATTAGAGCAAAATTCGAGAGTTGAGGTTGCCCTACATTAGATAAAAGTAAAAATTTACAAGAAGTAGAAAAGCTTAATTTGAATTAATGGTGCACAAAATGTATGAGTAATTATAAAGCAAAGTTTCTGAAACAACAACTTTGCCTATAATTCGTTCGAGCACAAGGTTATTGTGACATGTAAATAAAAATGAGAAAATTGAAGTAATAGTTAAGAGGAATCAATATAAGATACTGTATATTTACAGCAAAAAATTATTATTGTGTATTATATTATTATCGTTATCGATCGATATCGATTTTATCGATTTTTTGCAAAATTTGAGCTACAGGGCTGGGAGTTGGCACAGGGGGTAATCGAGCATGCTGATTACAAATATATTATTGACAGGCCCGGGCGGAGCCGGGTTTGCCAACTAGTCATTTATAAGGGTGTCCCAAAAAAATGTTAACACTGTTTGATCGTTAATAACTTCCTTGCTTTTATGTCTTTCGCCGAGGTTGAGGCACCATTCTGTAGAGCGAGGTTCAACTTAGATCTGTACTCTTCCGTTACTGTAAGATTACTTTAGATCTGTACTCTTCCGTTACTGTAAGATTACGCTAGGAAATTCGACAAGGATTTTAGGCCATCAAAAGCCATTTTTTGCCTCGAAACAGAGCTAAACAAGCCAAAATTTCTTGTACTATGGTAATGGAAGCCGCTGATTTCGAATATGAACTTTCACTTTACTATGATGCCCAAGTTATCCTAGGTAAACTCATAATAACTGACTTTCCAGCATGTGTCAAAAATGTGATTACACCGTCAAAAAAACTGAAAACGCTCGTAAAAAGTTGTGTATTGGAATCAGCGGGCGCGAAAACCCTAGTACACGAATTTTCAGATTTTTCGAAAAAGAAAAATTTTGCCAGATAGCATATTTTACGAAGGTTCCACATGTTGGAAGTTCTTACCGTAATCCTACAGTAACGAAGGGCGAGCGGTAATTAACGATTAGTGTTAACATTTTTTGGGCCCTGTATTATCATTAATATATTATATTGTATATTTTGTCGAACTCAAATTTGCGAAAAACCTTTATGAACCTGGCGTTTCGACTAAAATACCTTCTTAAAAATGTAAATAATATAATACTTGAGTGAAAATAAGTAAATAACCCGAAGGCAAAGAGGGATAATGGCAGGTTTTAGCGTTTCGATTCGGTCAAAAAAGTGAGACTGTAATGCATATTGAAAACAACAAAAGAGAAAGCAAGGCGTGAGATCGGTAGCAAAAGAACAACAAGCAACTAGTTAAAGGTTGCAATTATGCGGTAAGCAGGTTATGCGCTCATCGGTATGCAATGGAGAACAATCCAACAGGAAGTAAGGAAGTAACAAAATGCGCTGACGATTGGCTCGGAGTTGTCGTCAGGACGAGTTCATGTCGGCTTGTGTCCGAGATAATCCAATTGGTATTTAGCATGTAATGAACATTGGCGGATAGAGAGCGCATTTACGCGCGCCAGTGCGCTCCTCATAAGTGGGGATCAAAGGAGTTTTTTGTGTGGGTGTATTTCAAGGGGGATTAACGGGCCATACGGCGAATGAATGTCGAAAACGATACTTAACTCTCGTCGCGCAAGATTCCGCCATGTTCGCGGTTATCTGCGAGTTTTCATCGCAAATTTGGAAAATGAGCGCGTGCACTTGCAATCTTAGGAATCCGCGGAGTTGTCTAGGGTTTAGAAAAGGAAATCTGGAAAAGGGGAAGATCCATAAAAGACAGACAATTTGATAAAGTGGCAACAGGGGGGGGGGGGGGGGAGAAGGCATAAACAGTCTCAAGTTGACAACAATAGGCGCTGAAGTGTTACGAGCTGAGAAAAAACCGGATGGCATACTTGACCACAAAGATCGAATTTGTTTTGTACGAGAAAAATGAAAAAGAATCTGAAACTTCCTCCCTCCCCCCCTATTCTAAAATTTTCAAAATTTTTTGATTCCAGTAATGGAGCCGGACGAAGTGGAGCATTTTTGGCGCTGGACGCCAATTTGGAGCTGATGAAGAAGACCGGACAACTGGATGTGTTCGAATATGCGAAGACTCTAGTCAATTCTCGACCTCATCTGATCGACTCGGTCGATCAGTACCAGTTCATCTATGAGGCGTTAGCTGAGGTCGGTCGTTGCCTTCTTTCTTGTTCCATTCGGAAAAAAGCCAAGTAGTAACTGGCTTTGGCTTTCTAGCTAGTTTTTCTAGCGCTAATGTAGCCTAGAATGTATTAGTAAGCCGTCAGTATGACATAATGAACGTAAATCTGTATACATCCTTGTTTTCTCCTCGTTTTTGAATTTTGGGGAGAAATTTGCACTTCCAAAAACTCTTCTATTGCAGCTCCAGAGCTGGTATATACTTTGAACTGATAAAAGGCAATTTCTTCAACGAAAATGTAATTTTTCGAGGTAAACAAAATTGAGAAAACCCTGGCTTTTTTCTAGAAATTTAGTACAACTTTTATTTTCCTATTGTAGCTTTTTGAATTTTGAATACGGAAACCGAATGTTCGAGCAAATTCTTTGAAATCGCGGAAGCACTGTAACTTCTAGTTCAAAAACACAATATCTTATAAGAAACCCTAAAATCTTTCCTTACCAGCTTCATAACGACTCTTTGTCACATTTGTATCACATTTGTCTTCCTAAATTACCTGCTAACCTACCTTTAATAGGTTTTCTATGTAAAGTAGCGCATTGACCTCAATACGGAAATGGCATTAAATCTCGCTCCAATGCGATTTTTTGCCCGCTCTTCAACTTTTTGCCCATCGGGCTATGCTTTATGGACGACATCTGGCATTGCCTATCTATGAATCTTCTCGGATAGCACCTACGAAGGTTCACAAATACTTTCAGGAAATAATTTTCCAAATCTTGACCTTTTGAATTATTTTCTGCAGTGCTTTCCACAAGCAGCAAAGTAATGAAATCTTAAAGCATAGCGGCTTTAGGAAATTCTTATTCTAAGTTTCCAAGCGACAGCAAGGCAAAGAAATCAGGTTCTAAGTGGAATTAGTGTCCAAACCTTCTCACTACGCAACAGAACTCGATAGCATCAGGATTATACGAAAAATACGAAGTTTCGCTTACGAAAGGGAATTCTAGCGCGCTGTCCTTTGATCAGCTGGTTATAAAGCGCAAAAGACTTTTCTCTCAAGAAAGAAATTTACATAGAAAGTAAAAAGAAATCGGGAGAATGCCGAGGGAAAGTAAAGAATCATGTGAAACATCTCAGTAAACGACGACCACAAATGTCAACTTTCTAGAATAAACGGAAACTAGATGCAGTACTCTATGAATTAAAACGGCGAAGAGCTAAGTAAGGAAAACCTGATTTGAAAAGTCATCAAACGAACAGTTTCAATTCAGTTAAGATTTATTTCCAAAAAGAAAATTTTCTTCTTGGGTAACCACCCCGATTTCCAGTTATATAGTACTGGATGGAACCTGTTCTTCAAAAAAGTTTTTGACATCATCTACATTAATCTTATTTTGAAACAATGCATAACCCTTTTCGACGGCTTTTTCTATATTTCTCAATTATGCTGAAAAGTTTTGATGGTATATGTCGTTAATTGAATCTGTTCTAAATGTTAATTTTTGATAGTTATGTTTAGGCAGTGATGTGCAACGTGCAACCGATTCAAATGCATCAGTTGAAGGATCGAAGTAGCATGTATAAAGCGAAAAAGAACCGAGAATTGATGGAAAGTCAGGATAGTCATGAAAATAAGGTACGTTGATGAATCACATAGCAACGTTTTATGATTTAATTTGTCATATAGATAAGTTTGCCAGACTTGATTTGCTAAAAAGCAGCATAAATAGAGAGTTATATCTTATGACCACGTACTGCAAAGTTTCGGTTCCAGTAATCAAACTTTGATGGATGAAGAATTAGCCTATTAGGTTTATAAATCTTTTCCAAGGTCAGGTTGTCCTTTGACATTAGCAACTTTTTGCTGTCGCCAGGGTTAAATAGCTGCTTCCGATGAGCCGTTGAATTCAACGAAATCTAATAGGTTTTCTTGAACTTGATCGATCACGTAGTTGTTCATGAAATTTTCTCGCCTTTTTGAAAGTCCACTGATTCTTCCTATTTTGTGTTCGGCATTAGGTTTATATGCATACTAGAGATTATATGTTTAATATAACACCAAGTGACATTACTTGGAAAAGGCTTCGGATATAGAAGCTCGAGAAGAAAAAAGAAAATTACTCGAACTCGATTTTCTGAGATTAAATCGGCGAAATTGCTGCTGTAGAATTTGGTGCTCTTGCTCCTAAAACATTTGCTACTCACTTTTCGTCTAAATGATTTCAAGTCTTTGCTTTTTTGAGCAGTTGTAAAAAAACTAGTTTTCCAAAATAGCACAACAGAACCTTTGGGACGACATGATGTATGCAATGATTTATTCAAACTATATAACTCAAGGTGCTATGTTCTGGCTGGTTAAAACACTTGTATAAGCATTCTAAAATACTCCAGAGTTCAGGAACCCATTTGGCAATAGGAAATTTAAAGAGTTGGGAACCCAACATATTACTTTCAGCGTTAATTTAAGTTGAATTTCAGCCTTGTTTTTTGTTTAAATTTTAATAGGTCATTTCAAAAGTTCGTTCGTCAGTTTTTCAAAAAATCATAACTTCCTTTCTTCTCGGTCGAATTTCTCGTATTGATTTTTGTTTGAAAGAAGAAACCTTTCTCTTTACAATAGCATCTTTGCCACGAAATGGCGTGAAAAAGTTCAAGAGTTAGAATCAATTGAATAAATTTATTCAAGATTGGCATTTTTTAAGCTGAATCACGAAAAATTCCGAAAGTGTCATTATTTGATAGAGAAAATTATGCTCTTTACTATAGTGCCTTTCCCACGAATTAGAACGAAAAAGATCGAAAGTTATAAGCAATTAAAGAGATTTACTTCAGTTTTGCAATTTTTGAGCATGCCCAAAAGAGCGCAAAAACGTCACAAAAAAGGCGGGAAAGCCAGGAACAGGGGTTTTGTGACTTTCTCTTTCTAGCTAAGCGATTTTTGTGCTAAGGGAGAGCAATTTTGATTTTCATGGAAACGTATAGCAAATTCCTAATGATTTATTACTTTTCATAGAAACTTTCGTTGAGCCAAGAGTTTGCCTAGCTAGAAAGACGAGAACATAAAACATATGCTTGTGTTTGTTTCGGTATTTTTTATAACGTCTCAAGATTTTTGGTGAGCTTTTTTGAAATTACCAAAATTTGAGTGGTCTTTTTTTGCATTTTTAAATCTGCGAGTTGTGCTTAGTAGAACGAATTTAAGCCATTATCAGAAACTACATGATCTCTTCATTCTAGGAAAAATTATCCCAGGCAGATCTAGGCAGATAGCAGAGAGTTACGATTTTTTAGAGAACAATGCGAACGAACTTTTGAAATGACCTAATAGGTTTTTCTTTGAATTTCATTTTACTAAATTTCCATGCTTTTTCGCATAAAGTCATGTTTGAGACTATACCCGTCATCAATTTATTCCATACAGTAAATCCCCTCCCCTCTTGCAAATCGGATCCCATAGCCATTCATTTGAAATCTTTCATGTCATTGTGAAGTTTGTTCAAATGTGCCTTTTCTAGTATAACTTATGAAAACTTTTTGTCTTCGTTGCTAAAACCATAATATCAACTCTTTTCATACCTGTTTTCAAGTTGAATGTCCCCATTTAAGCGTTTGCACAAATTTTCCATAACATTGCAAATGCTAGTCATCTTAACCCTTTTATAGAACCTGTAACTGCTTAATCTAAGCAAGACTATTATTCAAACGTTTTCCAAATTTGCTAAAGTTATTGGATCGTTCATCATGTGAATATGCTTACATTTTTACCAATATGATAGATGGACATGTCTTAGAAATTTATTTCAACATAAATTTGAAGACAATTTTGACAAACAGGTTTACATTTTGGAAAAATGAAGAAACTACCTATATTCAATGATCTGGGAAGTTTTGGAATTTAGAAAAACCACTTTGTGCAGTAATTCTCTGGAATTTCTTGGTGAACCGTAAAAATGGTCGGGTTTCGATGAAATGAATATGATCATTGATTTCCATCTCGATTTACTTTACTTTTTAAGTAATTTCAAGTTTAAGGCAATCTTGATGGCTTTATGCAACTGGTTCGCTTTTAAGAGACTTGGCGTTATAGTTCAAAGTATGAGAACTGCAAGGGATTGATTACTGCAAAATGTAAACGTGAGAAGTAATTGCAAGCTTCAAACTTTCTTTTTTTAGTGAAAGTTCAAAGGCGGTATTGCCGACAAGAGAATTTTAGTCTTCGTCATAAATAATTTTTTAGACAACCCTGAAAGTTGTCAACAAAAGGATCAAATTTTTCAACCCAGTCACAAATTTTCGGATAATTGCTCACTGTTGCCAAATTGCCTGGATTTGAGCTCGAAAGCCATATCAAGGCGCTTATGGGACCTTGTTGTACACTGATCTTGCCATTGTTAGGCATATATACGAAAAGTGGAAAAAATGTTTTCAGGCTGCAAAATTTGATATAACTACAGGAGAATTATCAACATATTTGCTTCAATAATGAAATTTTTCTAAATTTCAACATTCTCAAGTTTTCCTGCATATTTTTTGCTCTAGATCAGGCATACGGTAGCCGACGATAGGCAATCACATGCACCGCCTATTCTAACTTGACTTTTGCTGTCTGCGTCTCTAGAACCGCGCACTCTCTTGCCGGACTCGCCCGCGCGCAACTTGTATAATATCTGCGTTCGATAAATGCCCATAAAAATAGTATTGCGGAAAATGAATATTGAACATGTTGACTTCTGCATGAGTTGGTGTAATACTGATAAATCAATTTTTGAATTCGTTGACACTTTTTCCTTCCAGCTGCTACTGCAATTGACACAACCTCTTCGTATTGGCGATTGTGCAGGCGGTCATCGTTTGGAGAATAGAGGAAAAAATCGAGATGTTATGGTTGTACCACGTAAGTTGCTACTGTTTTCAGGGTGAAATATTTTCAGGGAAGTTATTTTTTCATCAATTATTTTTTTATTTGTTTGCCTCTGGAAATGCCCCTGTTACAGTCTCTCGGACAGATAAGGGGTTGGAATCGGAAATACCGAGAATTTTGGTCAGTTTTTGATGGGGCAGAGGACATTAGGTCTCCGAAATGGGAGGCCTGGATACTTGCAACAAATGCGCGCCTTTATGTATTGTAGCTCATGCCAGCTGTCCGCGCGAGTAGAGCCTATCGCGACCTATTGTCCTCTATCTTCTTGGTCCTTTACCCGCCCGAAATACAAAATTTGCATATTCTCATTAGTCCATAACTTGTGCTTAGAGCAAGTTTTTTGGCGCCCATCTAATTACCCCATTCCAGCCGATCATGCGCGGCCCTACTTGCAAACACTGCACGGTGAAAGCAAAGATTATACCTATATCAATGCAGTAGAGGTTCGTTCTCCAATCTATTTCATAGAAAATTCTTAGAGAAATCTTCAAAATGATCCAATTAAGGTGGATGGTTTCACCAGAAAGGCGGAATTCATAGTGACAGAATGGCCAAAACACAGCACGATCGATTCATTTTGGACGTTGATATACGATCATTCCTGTCATACAGTAGTGAATCTAAGTAATCAGGGAAATCCACGGGTAATCTGGAAATTGGAAGAGATCGTAATTATTTCATTAATTTTAGCAATATCCTACATTTATTCACAATAAAGGAAAAGCCAGCTATGGTCCGTTCATTGTCGAAGTTCTCAATTATCATCAATACCCAGCAATGACCTCGCACATGGTGAAGGTGATGAAGAGGGTATGTTTCCAATGCGAAGTCGATTGTCATGATCCGCCTGGCCAATTTTGAAATCATTCGCTTTTGCTTGCGCTCATGATTATCGTCTCGTGCTTCGTAGCGATTTTATATGAAGTAGAGAGTCATTTGTAACTCAATTTGTGTGGTTACACACTGCGCGCAACAACCGACGACACCTTACTGGTAACTCGTCAGGAAAACCTTTTCTAGCGGTACAGTTTTGGAAATGTATGCTGTAGAAAATAAATCAAAGGGGAATTTTTGGAAATTAAAAACACCGTAAACCCAAAATGAGGATGGTGATTATTCCAGTGCTGTTTGATAGCGGGGCCCTCGACTAAGTAACTATCCAAGTTTCGCTGCGGAAGAGGAACTCTGAGGCGAGAAAATCGCTCCAGAATGAACCCGCAGACAAGCCCGTCCCACCCATTAACGTGGGTACTTCGAAAGTAATGTGTGCTGAATTGGCCGTCAAATAGTCAGGAATGCCAAGAAGCTTATATTTATGATAGGAGAGAGATTTTCGACATATGTAGCGACTTGAAGCCCAGTTCAGAACACATTCCCTTTCGAATCACCCACCTAGTGGGCGGGATGGACTTGTCCGCAGATACCTTCTGAAGCGATTCTCTCGCTTTAGAATGCATCTTCTGCAGCAGGATTTAGGCAGTTACCCATTCAGGGGCTCCGCTATCACAAGCACTAGGAACTTACCACCCTCAATATGGGTGGGGAGGGGGGAGGGAAGTGCCTTTGACATGTCTTATCTTGCAAGCCGTGAAGTAGAGCGCGTGGTGTGCGATAGCACATTAAGTCACAAATGACTCGACGATACCTTTATGCTTATTAGCAATTTTCATGATGAAGTCTGTAATGCAGACGATATTCTCTCCGGATTCTTCTCAAAAAAATCGTCAAGCGAAACAGCCCCCGACGTTGCCGATGGAGTTGATGCCGAATAGAAATGGCATTCCGTTGGGTCAGTCGTTTCGGCTGAAACCCGAATATCACGGACATGTGCACGAGGCGAACGCAGACGCGGATTCGCGCTCATCGAGCCCCGTTCCTAGGAACCCGGACTCACGCGGGTACGGTCGGCTGCGGCGTCGTCTGTCACGCTCGGCAGACGACGTGCACGATCGGGATCCGTACAGAGAGGTGCGCACTTGCGAGTGTGCAGTCCGCTCCCCTCACCGTCCTCTGTTCCTCCACCTCTCTCACCAATATAAATTGACACCAGTAGTTGTGGGCATGGTGGGCCCAATTGAGATAGTCTGTGAGTCCATGTTCATAGTGTTGTGATATGTGTGTTACTCTGTTTAGAAGGGAGCCGCTGACATAAAACGACTTTTGAACATTCGACGTGAAAAGGCCGACCTACAGAAAGATACGACGAAACAGATTCAGAAGCTGGTGTGTCCACGCGTCAGAATGTGCACTCTACCGCCCCCACCTCGCTGCTTCTCCGGCTCTCTGTCTTCGGCCCCTTCTCACGCTTCCAAAGCTAACATTCAGCATGACATGACACAAACACTTATCTGTTCTCTCTACTCATTTAATACATTCTCCCAATTTCTCTAACGCTCTTTGTGATCTTCCCAGGCAAATGGACCATGAAAATTACTTTTTTAGACTTTCATGATCTCCGATATTATGACGAGTGGAAACAGCAACCAGCAGATAGATACTGAAGTTCGGATCTGCTGCGTCATACAGGTAGGATTGTTTTCTGTTTGCCCTAGACCCATTTTCAATTTGGCACATTGCAGGTGAGAATGTGGCCCATCGAGAATAAGGTGCCATTGTCAACGACGGGATTGATGGACGTGATCAAAATGGCCAGGAGTTGGAGGCGGAGAGCCCCAGATCGACCCGAAACAAAACCGACAATTGTCATGTCTCAGTAGGTTTCTGTTACAATTTTGCATTCCCAGTAGTCAAGCATAAAACTAAAGCAGAGATTTTCGAAGTTTGCTTTAAATTTCAACGATTTTGAGATTTACTACCTCAGTATCGAAGGCAGTAGACAAGGAGTGTTTCAAAATCTTTTTTGTGCGCTCTGTAATGTCCAAAGTCCGAAGTTGCGCTTTAAAGATGGAAAAATTCACAATTATTTTGAGGCGAAAATCATTAAAAGGGCGGTCTTGGCTTGGCGACTAGCCAATCAGCTCCACAAGCGGGCGGGGACAGGAGACTGCTGAGTCAATCATCATTAGGCAAACGTGTAAGTCAAGACCGCCCACCGGTGCTGAAGCATCGCCTCTAAAGGTGGCGTCCTGATTTATGCTACCCCGTTTAGTACCCAGCCTAAAAGCCCCCAGGAGAGTGATATCTGCGTTGGTTTGCTCCTCTAATGTGGCCTTTAAATAGAGAAAATGGACCTGGAACCTGCGAAAGTGCTATCAAGCCACGCCCCCTTGTCAAGCTCCGCCCATCGAAAAAATGGAAGTCGCCCACACCTTCGTTTCAGGGCTCCCAAAAATCGGGTTTTTCGAGGTTTTGCACATTCTGCACTTCATAACCGTATCAGAACAAAAACAAAATTAGAACTTGGGTGAATGCTGCATTTAACACCCTTAACGAATACAAAGCCCTTCAAATTGTTAGTGAAAATTTCATATTACAGTAATGGCGTATCCCGAGTCGGTGTATATATCGGAGCCAACATATGCATAGACCAAATGGACACGGACCATGAGGTGGACGTTTTTCATGCCGTAAAAATGATGCGGATAAACCGGCCGCAGCTGATTGACATGAAAGTAAGCGCTGTGGTTTTTTTTTCTGTAGAAAAAAGGCAAAAGCCCCATCTTTAGGACGAATATAAGTATCTATATGACCTGATGCTGCATTGGTACATGACAAATCCCGAGTATCGAATCTATGATAAGGACGACTCAGGCGAAGAGGACGGCGGTACCAATACCAAACCCTCCTCAGCCCGGCAATCGCTCCGAGATAAGGATCGGTATTTGCGAGGCCAGAATTCAGTCCGAAAAGATCCTCGCAAAATTGCAGACAGCAACTAGCACTCGCTAAAAGCTGATTTTTATGTGAACCCCCCGTAAAAAAACACTGTGATCCTGCTCAGAGCATCGCATTCAGTATGTACTTACTATGAGAGATCTTTCTTCATCGTGGTGGTGTTATTTTCAATTGTTTTCTATGCTAAATCAGGTATGTCAGGTACGAATATTTACGACGGGTCTGTTTGAGAAGCCATCAGATCATTTGCTCACCTGTATCTAGTCAGTTGTGCCTATTTGACAAATTTCTAATAACTAGAACATATCACATACATATATTTGTTGCTAGACTCAATATTTTGGCGGACAATTCCGCAAAAACGTTTAGTTGTAGTAGGATTTTGAGATGACCCCTTTGTGGGTATGGTTCGTGTAACGTCCATCTGTGCACGCCCAATCCGTAACAGATGTCCGTTCTAGGTATCAGTTCTCAGATGCACTTCATAGGGAGCCTTTTCTGTGGCCTTCTTTTACATATTGTACATTGTGTTATTCCGATGCTTTCACTGTGATTTTTATTTTTCGTCATCCCTAAAACAATAAATAAAATCAGATCTATCAAAAAGTCATGCCTTTTGTTCATTTCATATAAAACGTCGAATCTTCGTTGGAAGAAGAGGACGAGCTTTGGCCATGAGGTTGTCGCGGGAAAGATAACATCCACACATCTGACGCCATCCCTAGACCAAAGAGTTCTCAAGAAAAAACATTTGGAGTATGAATAAAATCCCCAAACATGAGAAAAAAAACAGAAATATGATTTTAAAGAAACTCTACAAAGCTGAATGTAAAATATTTACTTGTACTAATAAAGCATTGGTTTTTAACCTCAGGGACTGCAAAGCATCAGAATTGCTGATCGGTTATGCTTTATCAGTTGTAAATGTTGGTTGCTGATGCTAGAACTTCAAATCAAGCAGGAAAGGGGGTAACGAAAATTTTTTCCGAATAAACATGCGTGGTGTCAGCTATGCACGCAATTTTGGAAAGCTTCTCGTTATTTTTTGGGCTCATGACCTCGGAATTGCAGCCATGATCCCAAAAAATTTTTTTACAAAGCCAATTCGAATTCTGTAAAGTTATTTGCAAGTATTAGGTTGATGCATAATTCCTGCACCAAAATAGGTACAGACCGCAATAACTCGGAATAATCCTATATCCCAAGTAGGATTCGATATATCATTTGATAGAGCAAACCTAGCTCTACAAGATAGTGCTTAAATATCTACACCAGCTTTGATCCACGCGAAGTTTTGAGCCAAAAACTGAAAAAAACCATGCGTCCGAAAACCTTAAGTCAGATCTTAAAAAAATTGTAACTTCGTTCAAAAAGCTCATACAAATTTTCTTTCTTGCTCAAGCATAGACGTTCCACGTAAGACATTTATCTATGCGGTTGCTGTATTTTTTTCTCAATTAGACGATGAGAAAACGAAATTTTTCATGTTTTTTTCAAAACAATGCTGAGATGTTCTAGCACTGACAGTTGTATACTATAGGACCTTAGAAGCGTAAATGTGAATTTTCAGCTCTTTAGAGCAGCTGGTTTACGAGAAATATCGAATTTTTAGCAACTAGGCAAGAAAACTTTGGATAAGGAGAGCTAGATTCGTTATTTCTCGCGAACTAGCAGTTCTAGAAGGCTGAAAATGTAAAGTTTCACTGCTAACGGCATGTAGTATACAACTGTTAATACTAGAACATCTCAGCACTAATTTGGCAAAAACATGAAAAACTTCAAAAAACTTCGTTTTCTCATCGTCTAATTGAGAAAAAAATACAGCAACCGCATAGATAAATGTCTTACGTGGAACGTCTATGCGTGAGCAAGAAAGAAAATTTGTATGAGCTTTTTGAACGAAGTTACAATTTTTTTAAGATCTGTCTTAAGGTTTTCGGACGCATGGTTTTTTTCAGTTTTTGGCTTAAAACTTCGCGTGGATCAAAGCTGGTGTAGATATTTGAGCACTATCTTGTAGAGCTAGGTTTGCTCTATCAAATGATGTATCGAACCCTACTTGGGATGTAGGATTATTCCGAGTTATTGCGGTCTGTACCTATTTTGGTGCAGGAATTATGCATCAACCTAATATAAACAAGTCATTCGCATATTTTTATAACCCATATAAGACTTTGAAAAATTTTGCGACCCGGAAAGAAAGACATGAACCTCAGTAATTGAATATTTGAGTTTGAATTTTTTAATTCTTCCAAATTATTTTATGATCGATTTCAAAACATTTCAAAATGGTGAGAAATAACATCTACTCATCCGTCGTCAACCAACCTCCACAGAAGCCTCTAAGAAATTGCAGAAAGCGAAAGCAGACTAATAACTTGCATACAAGAGAACTCCAATTAGAACATCCGCGTCTACTGAGTAGCTCGAACATCAACAATATTTCAAGTAGTGGAAAAGTCTTTGGGAATGTCCCAAGTTTTTTTGAGCAAATGCATGGAAGACGCAAACAAACCCCGGTAATTTTTGATTGCTAAACAACGTACCTTGAAACTTGTTCGCGAATGCAGAACCCGGTAATTATCCAGGAATATGACCGTGCCCGGTCGAAGAGATATTGCTGTTGAGTTTTCCGGTGCATGACAGATCGAGGAAAATGCAGAGTAGGATTGATAGTAAGCTAACGCATCTCTAGCATACAGTATGGAATCTTCCCCTTCTTTCAGTGCACGGAACGGAGCACGATCATACGGATTGAATCTGCAATAGAAAGTAACTAATTTTGAGAAAAACATAACATCTTCATGTCCTAACAATTACTCAAGATTCTATCGATTAGCTCAATATAAGGCAATCAGAAAATCATGAATTCTTGTGACGTTTGAGTACACGCAAACACCGCACTCGAATTTTTCGCCACATTTTTTTTGAGCCTCCCATAGCCTATCCCAGATTTACTCCCATCTCTCTAAATTTCTTACAATGAATGCAGCAGCCATACCGTAGAGACCTTTGGGTGAACCAGTCACTTAAATGTCTCTACGGTATGACTATTGCACTCATTTCCCGTCTTCGTTTATATTGCGGTGATCAGAAAAGAATGGAACGGCTTAATTTTCCACATTCTGGACCTTTTTTACCATTAACAACGAGGCAGCATCTCAAACGTACTTGTACGTGCCTCGCCTATCCTTCTAGCAAAGCGCTTTTCATGCAAAGATTCTTTATTTTTCAATGAAAATTTTAAAAATCAAAGTGCGATTTCCATCGAAATAAAAAACCAAAAGCTACAGACCGCCACTGAAATGATTGGGATGGAATTATATTTTGGTCTATAGGTAGGCTGCACATGCATGGATAAAGCGTTATAATACCAAGAGAATGTGACTTTACATGCAATAAAGTCTATATATAAATAGAACTCAATTTTTTGAGGATGTTCGTTGGATTGCTTGTCCGTTATAGAACAATCGCCGCGCAACCAATTCAGCACAATTAATGTTGATACGGGAACCCTTGCTGCGCAGTATAATGGCTAGTAGAGGGGAGGGGGGGGGGAAGGGGGCTGAAGCAGGCCTGTTCGAGAGAAGAAGGCCGGACTTGCGGGTGAGAAAAAAACATCATACTTGTCGCGTCTGGCGATGCAAGGCGCTCCTCGAAGCACGGAGGCCGGGGGCATCGGTTATCGCCTATCCGGCGACGGTTGCGGTAGCCGAGACGCATGCTGCCGCGATCGTCTCCGGACCTCTCCTTTATTGGCTTGTTGCCAACCAGGTGGCTATACAGGATGTCCGTAAAGTATGTATACACTGTTTGATCGTTAATATCTCTTTTCCCTAGAAGTCTTTTGCCTTGCTTCAGGTACCGTTTTGTAGAGCTGGCTTCAACTTAGATTTACAGTATAGAACGAATCACATCTCTCTTCATTACTGTAGGATTACGGTAGAAACTTGAAACATTTGGTGTCATTGTGGAAAAAGCTGCCGTTTCAAAATTTTTCAAAAAAGTGTGAAAACTTGTGTAATAGGGTTTTTATGGACGCTGAGTTCAATACTCAACTATTCACAAGATTGCGAAGCTTTCTAAACGGTGTAACCGCCCTTTTTAGAAACATTGAAAAAATGGTTGCTACCTCGTACCTGGCATAACTCTTCAATGAAGCATCATAATAAGTTGGGAACTTTACAATTAGAATCAGCAACTCTGATTAGCCTAGTGTAAAAGTTTTCACGCTGTTTTGTTTCCTTTCTGAGGCAAAATATGGCTTTCCATGGCTCAAAACCCTTTCTGAAGTTTCCACCGTAATCCTACAGTAATGAAGACAGATGGGTGATTCGTTCTATACTGTAAATCTAAGTTGAAGCCAGCTCTACAAAATGGCACCTGAAGCAAGGCAAAAGACTTCTTGGGAAAAGAGATATTTACGATCAAACAGTGTATACATACTTTACGGACACCATGTATAAAGCGGCGGCGCCTCATTGGTGCCTTGTTCGTCTTCGTTTTAATTAATCGATATCATTTCTTGTTCGAATATCATTTCAGCCGCTTGGCTCCTGTCCTTTTTTGTAAAAGCAGTTAAGCCGGATGTTCTTTGGATTGAGGAACGGATTCTTTTTGTTAGCGCATTTCGACGCGCCGTGTACTAACCGGAATTGCATGTCAAGTTGGAAGTCATCTACAGGAGCTGGAGAGGACGTGCCCGTCTACAACCTGGGCGTTGCGCGGTGAATTTGTTGCATGAAACCTCGGGGCCACATGTATTTTTGAGATTACTTGTAGATGCGCATCGGTAGCATGGGATGGGCCCTCGTCCCGTGTTTTATTCAGTAGTGGTAGTGATCTGTTTTTAGTTTAGTGTTCTTTGTCTATTTTGAGTGTAGTTTGTTGTCATAAGGATAGATTACTTAATCACTCATGTTTCTTTCGGTCGCGCGTTAGGTGCGCAGTAGGATAGGTACGTCGCTTAGTAGCGGACGAGCATCAGCCTTGGGTTACATCTTTACATGAGCCCACCGAGTCGCCACAATTCTTTTTGCTTGAAGATGCGCGTAAGACGCTGTGCCGAATCATTTAAATTCTTTGAATTCATGACTCCGGCAGGACCGAGAAAGCCAGCTAGTACCAAGTATCCGCGACTTAAGACTGCACGTAACTAGTTACATTTCCGCATGTGAGCCAGAAATATCCCAGGTATAGTGACTGTTCTTTCAGCCATTGCAGCAACTCTATTAATTCGAGTATTGTCGTTTGACCTCAATTATACTAAAGTTGAGTGCACGGAATCGCTCGAGCTGGGCGCACGCGAGCGTGTCTCTTGCGGGCTAATTTTTGCATTCGCGCGCATGAGTCATCATCGCCCGTACCCGGCAGCCGCGTTGCAGGCATGCTCGCGTGCGTGCAGTATACTTGGGACCGAATCGAATGATTATTCGATTATTCGAATAAATCATTCGAATGCGAATCATTCGAAAAGTCGAATATTCGAAAATCTGAGATTTCGAATAAAATTCGAAAGTCGAATATTCGAAATTTTCAGTTTTCGAATATATTCGATATTCGAATATTCGAAAATTTCAACTTTCGAATATTATTCGAAAGTCGAATATTCGAAAATCTCAATTTTCGAATAGTATTCGAAAGTCGAATATTCGATAGTCATCAATTCGATCATTCGATGGTCATCGAATATTCGAATCATTCGATGAACGTCGAATATTCGAATATTCGACAATTTGAATAATGAAACCAGAGCCCGGCGCAGATTGTATGGAAGCAAGCTGGATTTGGTTTTCGGGCGGAAAAGGATATCATTTTTGTGGCCAAAAATTGCGACGTTTTTTAGTCGGCGTTTCGTCTTTTGAGGGTTTTTACGTTTAGGGCTGACAGTCAAAGGGGACTTCGTTTTCAAGAAGCCTAGAAACGATCTCACGCTGGGCTCTGGATGGTAAGCCTAGCACGTCACTGTAGGAGTTTCTATCAAGCTACAACTCTCAATGGGGAGGGTATAGGCACCGTAAAACCTAATTGCCCGTACCGTGCCTTGAACACCAACGTAAGCGAGCGGTCGTCGCGAAGGATTGTCGGCGTTCAGTATATTTGAAGAAATCTTTCTTTAACTTCCATGTTGTTCTCGTCAATGCATGGTATATTGACGAAAGCTCCTCTTAAAAGTTTGAAAAAATATGTGCGGAAAGGGTGCGCGCTCACTGTCGCTCGCAAAAGGCTTGTAGCGCTTCGGGACCAAACGTTCCCAGCCGCCTCGCGCGTTGGTGTTCAAAGGACGCGTGGGCAGTTGGATTTTACGGGGCCTATATATGCTTTGTGGTCCTGGCGCAGTAGTCTATACAGTAATCGTGATGCGCCATTTCTGTTGCAGATGTAGCTGCTATCGATTTTTCGCTATCCAGGGACGCCAGATTTTAATGTTCTTCAACAGCGCCTATCAGTTCTTCATGAGCGTCATTGAGTAAACTTTAGAACTTAAACTTAGAGTTTAAACATTTAGATCCACCGTAACACGGCTTTATGACCCCAGCAGGAAAAAGTGAAAAATGAGTACCATACGATCTGCGCACCGAACAACCTCCTAGACCAAGGTTTAACAAGGTTTCGAAATTTTGTAGATACCGGGCATTGATACCCCCCCCCCCACATACCTGCTGAAAGTACGAGCAAATATACTCCGGAAGACTTTTTAGCTGCATCTCTTCTTTTGTACACTATTTCTCTTTCTCTGACCAAACTCAGATTTATCTCTGAGTTCCACGATAGACTGTAACGCCCACCAAACTCAGAGTTATCGCAAAGCACAGCTGCGCGTTTGTTGCCGCTGTTTCTTGTGCAGAACGATCTCGACAATGTTTTCCTACTAGGGATAAATTACCGGTTACAGAGTCTCCTGCCATATATCGCTTTCTAGATTTAGTCCATTCAGCTGTTGAAGGGGTAAGAAAGGTGCGAGTCAACTCAGATACAACTCAGAGTTAAGTCAGAGTAACTGTGAGTTCCGACCAGATTACTACCGACCCTGCCTGAGGTCTAGTGCACGCTGTTCTTCATTCGCATTCGGGAAAGGTGATAGATGTGAACGTGAACGTGAAGATGTTCCTGATATCGTCGCAGCGTTACTTCCACTCGACATCGTAAATTGAGGGCGTATTCGAGATAATGCACTAGTGATCGGAAGGATAGTGTTTTGTCAAGAAGTTTGTCGTTTGTTGTAATGCGAGAAAGGGATATGGTAGAACCAGTCATTGTATAGTATTTTCCAGCAGCGGTTTAGGTTATCGCATTGCCAACGAGAGGAAGATTGCTTATTGCCACGAGTGTCGAGTCGAAAGTTGTGGGTAAAGCACTTATACAGTGCAACAATGTGTATACTAAATGTGTATCGTAGAGTTGGCGACGGCAGGGCTAGATGTAGAGAATCCGCGCAACGCTCTGAGATATACGTCATGTATTGCAGAGTAGTAGTTGCATAAAAGTGCACTACAAAGACCTACAGTACTTGTAAACTATGCGCTTGGTCATGTTATCATAACACATAGACATTGATTTTTCGAATGATATTCGAAAATCGAATGATATTCGAAGGTCGAATGATATTCGGTATTCGAATGATATTCGATATTCGAATATTCGAAATTTCCGATTTTCGAATATCATTCGATAGTCGAATATTCGAAATTTTCGATTTTCGAATATTATTCGATAGTCGAATATTCGAAATTTTCGATTTTCGAATATCATTCGATAGC